TAGCATTACCTTTGTGTCCAGAACTTCATCGTACAATATTTCCTCGTAATGAAGATATTGGTTCATTTTTACGTGTCAATGGCACTGTTGTACGGACTGTTTTGCCCAAGTTATTAGAGTACAAAAGAGTTTATTATTGTTCCAAATGTAAAGAACCATTTGATGTTAAGGTATAATTTAAATATTTCATATTTCTAGTCCATTTTATTTTATAATAACAGTGATTGCCCTAAAGGCTCAATATATAAACCTAGAGCTTTTAAATATAATTTAAAATTATGAATTATGATGTTGCTTTTAAGATTGATTATGAACAATTTAACAAATTAATAGTTCCTTTGAAATGCCCMAACTTAGAAGGTTGTCCTGGTACTAATTTAAAGCCATTAAAAGATGAAGATCAATACATAAAAGATTATCAAGAAATTAAAATTCAAGTAAGTGTCTMTCTACATTTATGATATTTGAACATTAAAATATATTTATACATTATTTTAATATCTAAGGAACAAATTGGTAAAGTAGGCCTTGGAGCAATGCCTCGCTCAATGTGGGTATCACTAGAAGATGATTTAGTTGATAAGTGTAAACCTGGTGATGATGTAATAATATGGTAAAAATAAGTATACATCCTATTTTTATTTGAATTTATGGTACTTATRTGCTWTCTTGACTACCTTKGGTGCACAACCGTGTTATCTCGACTACCCTAATACGTCTTCCATCAACTACCTGCGTATAGGAATCTATTTAAAAATGTACATTCCTGCGGTGTCATCTGTAATCTGTATCATCGTTATTGATCATTTAATTTTGTTTTCAATGTACAATTTACTATCCACGTATCTTGCCATCAGATCAGGTATTTATGTCATCAGTCAGTTGTCAGCCGTCCTTGTTACGTCCATCAGTTATTATTTACTGTATAGTACCTACATACACCCTATGACTATACATTTTTTTAATTTACCATCTTCAGAGAAAGAAGYTGTGCAATTTCTTCAAGAATGCGAAGTGTTGCCTAGTGTAYGGATTTGTYAAGACAATCACTTGGCAAAGCTATATTTTGGAAGTGTGWTGWCAAAAAYTACATATTATTTTTAGATTTTTTATGTACATTTTTAAATAGATTCCTATACAAAGATATTTGATTCTAACAGGTAGTCTTGGAAATATTTTGGTAGTCGAGATAACCCATAAGTATTGAATTTATAATGTATTAAATTATTTTTTAGTGGCACTGTTATTCGAAGATGGCATCAAACTATTGAAAACTCTTATATCGACATTGAATTATGCTTCAGAGCTAACCATTTGATTGTTTGTAATGATCAACAGTCTGCAATTATGATAACAGATGAATGGGTGCAAGAATTCGAAAAATTTTGGGAAGATAATAAAAACGATACATTTGCAGCTAGAAATCTTATTATTGCATCAATTAGCCCTCAAGTCAGTTACATTCTAATTATCTTTAATTCCTATTTAATTTGGTTTCGAAACATGAACTTTAGACTTACGGATTGTATACTGCGAAATTGGCCGTAGCTTTAGGTTTAGCAGGTGGAGTGCAACGGTCAGCATCTGAAGGAGGTGGAGTTAGAGTTCGTGGTGAAACGCACTTATTATTAGTTGGTGATCCAGGTACAGGCAAATCACAACTGCTTAAATTTGCATGGAAAGTATGTCCTAGATCAATATTCACCACTGGAGTTGGCTCATCAAAAGCAGGATTGACCGTTGCAGCATTCAGGGTTAAAAATTAAATCTAAATAATAGTTTAATAATAATACTTAATGTTAAAGATTTTTAAATTTGTTATTATTAACAGGAAGGGTCTGAATGGCATTTGGAAGCTGGTGCCCTTGTATTGGCTGATGGTGGAATTTGTTGTGTTGATGAGTTTGGATCATTGAGGGAAGATGATCGTACAGCAATTCATGAAGCTATGGAACAACAATCAATTAGTGTTGCAAAAGTACTTACAATACTGAGTCATATAAAAATTATTACTTATTGTAATTAWGATAGACCTTTCATTTTTTTAAGAATTAATTTATTTTTTATTTTTATTATAGGCTGGTTTAGTATGCAAACTAGACACTCGTTGTACTGTTATGGCTGCAATGAATCCAAAAAGTAGATATAATCTAAATTTATCCATWACAGATAATATTAAAATTGCTAGTCCACTGTTAAGTCGTTTTGATTTAATTTTAATTCTTATTGACACGAAAAATGAAGAGTGGGAAAAGTAATGTTATTTTGCTTGTGTAAATTTAATTTTGATAAAATA